CCTGGTAAGCTCAGGGCACATGGAGAGCTCCAGCAAGAGCTGTGTGGACATGCAGGTAAGCTCAGAGAGCTCAGCGCGCACGTGCCATACAACCCCAGGGCAGGGTGGTACAGGGGTCTGCTCCCCTCCCATCAGGGTTGCCCCTGTGTACAGGGATGAATGTGAATCCTTTCCACCTAAACACCATGTTTTCAAGAGAGTGGTTTGTATTTTGGGAAGAGGGATGGGGTGTTTGACAGTACTGAATTGCAGGATGTGGCAGCAGCTCGTCCAAGGTTAGTCCTGGGCCCTGTTTGGAGATCTATTCCCCTGCAATAAATTCTGCTTTTGTCACCGACTCCTTTGATCACAGAGAATATAATGTTGCTGGCTACAGCCAAATGGCACCTGCTAGTGTGATGAGCAGCAGAGACTAAGGGGAAATGGAACCGTAGACAGATGTCCTATTACCTTGCATTAGGAGGGTCTGAAAAACAATGGCATCCTTAGGGGAGCACAATGCCCAGCTGCTCCCACTCAGGGAGCCCAGCTATTCCCACTCAGCCAAAATGAATGCCTGCATTTTCTGAAGACCTTGGCATTTCCTGTTCTCATGTGGGCCTGGAGGATCTGGAGTTTCCATGTTTCCTCCATGTCCCAGACATTTGCTCTGTCCCAACAAACCTCTTTAAGTCATACTTGAGCCCTCCAGTGACTTTTACAATAAAAGCAACTGCCAGTCCTAGAATTTCTAATGCCCAGGTTCTCTTAGACTTTTCTAAAGGGAATCCATCTTTGTTTGAAAGCCCTCTTTTAAGCCTTCCTTCTCCATTACAAATAAGGAGAAAAGGACCCACACCTATTTCCCCCACTTTGCTAGCCATCTTAAGCTTCCTCAGTGGTAGAATTCAGTATTAATTCCTTGGTGCACAAGCTGCTTTTATATGCCTATGGCATATAAAAGCGGCCTATGGATGCAAGAAGCTGCCTTTTAAAAATCTTGCTGTTGAGGCCTGGGCTCTTTAAGAGGTATTAGTGTTAAGAGGATGATAGAGATTAAGTGGTTGATGGGTGGTGTTTCTATATTGTTATAAGTAGTTAAGTTTAGATCCACTAATTAAGAAAAAATAATCCTGCACAAACACTTGAGAATAAACACAGGCTTGTAGTAAGTAGGTGGACTAGCAAGTGCTTGCCACTTGTAAGTTGCAGGTCATGAAAGCAAAATATTTTTACAGACAAATCTATTAGATTCCTGCTGACTTCATCCCCAGTCAGGGACGCATTTCATACATAGGTACTGTGAGATTCATTATTCCAGTAACATGAGTGAACTTTTCCTGCAGAATATGGATTTAACAGACCATCTTTGCAGGCCAGTATTGTTATGTGTATTTTGCAAAGTACCTGTCCTGGTGAGCATTGAGAGGGTACTTTATGTGCCTTGGAGGGCATCAATTACCCTCTGGATGAGAGGAGCAAAGCTCTAGGCCTCCCTTTCTCATTTAGAATGTCCTTGATTTTTTTTTTTCATTTTTAGCAGATCCCAACCATTTTAGTGTGTTGTCTTTCCCAAAATATCCATGGAGCACATAAAGCTCTTAAAAGGATAAAAAATAGTAGATTATATTCCAGTGACCACTGATCTGCACAGGTGGCAGACTTACCTTTAGAGATTAGATCAATTATATTATACTGGTGGGACTAGAGAGCTGTGTGATCTTATGTTCAGATCAGTTATTTCCTGTAATGCTCATAGCACCTAAAGGCTACAGACTATATTTAGCCCTAGTTCAAGCAGGTGCAAGTCCCACTGAGGGGAACCTCCATTACAGCTGAATTTGGTCATATATTTTCCACGCTTTTGTTGATTTGTCAATCAGTTTCCAAGCAAGAGAAGCAGTATGGTCCAATACTGTCCCCAGTCTGGGAGTGAGGAGAGGATTTTTCCCTGGGCTTTCCAACAGATCAGCATCAGGTCTGCATGTGAGTCAGCCATCTTTCTAGCCTGTGCAAAGCACAGACAAGAACACACCTCTTCTTATGCACAATGTGTGGAGGGCAGCAAATGAGAAGGGTCAGGTGCTGCCATTGTTGCATTTTGGGATGCTCCTGTTCTTTTCTGTGGTGTGTGATGAGAGATGCACGCTGACTTCAGTATGTGCCCAAAAGCCAGCTGTCAAGGTTAACAGCTGTGCTCTGCCAGCTGTCCATTGCTTTTAAATAAATAATTAGAGAGAACCTATGTGAGAGGCAAGGGTTTCTTTTATTATGGTCCAGTATCTTTTATTGGACCAGCTGCATGCAGGGGTGAGAGAGAACACAAGACAGTCTCCTTCAGGTCACAGATGATCTACTAACAGAGGTTTCCTGCGGCAAGCAGAAGTCTTGCTATGCATGGGGGTCACTTCAGAGGGCTGAGAGCAGATGTGGCAAGGTGGAATTCCCCTGGGATAGGATATATCATGGAGCTTGCTTCAGGGCAGACACACACATGCCCAGAGAGACCCTTGCCAAAATTTATCCAGGGGTTTCCTTCTACAGGTGACATGTTGTGCAAGGAGGGATGTTGTGGCCAAGGTGAGCTCAGCCATGGGATCATTACCACCTAATGGGGATACCTTGCTGTGAAACATGGCTGTGCTGTAGGAAGTGTGAGCACCAGGGTTGTGCCCAGCTCTGGGCTTCAGTGGGGGGGAGGGGGATAGTCACCTGCAGGGTTGCCAAGCCAGCCCCTCACACATGGCTTCTGAAGTGCTGCAAGGAAGTCATGGAGGGCTGTTGGGCCCCCTGCATTTCTTCTGCTAGCCACTGGGAGCTGCTGTGGAGAGGGCCTGCTAATGCCCCCACCACTCTCTCTTAGGTTGCTCACCCCCATGGCTGGGTACAAACCAGCATGCAGCAACCCAGAGGGGGCTGTAGCTGCCTGCCCCCTGCTCCCAGACAGGAGAGATGAGTGGCTGGCCAGGATAGGGAGGGCATGGGTGTGCAGTGAGAGGGCACTGAGCAGATGCGGTGGGATGGGTTGGGCAGCATAGGGAGGCTTCCAGGACCCTCCTAGCTCCCTCCTCAGGCTCCCTTCCAGCTTCCCTACCTCTCCTCTGCTCCTGGCCACCTGGGGCAGACGGCAGCATGTTCTCACTGGGCAATCGCCCAAGCAGGTGTGTTCAGTCCCAGCACGCTGTGACCCAACCTGGGCCCCGTGCAGCAGCTGCTGCAGTAATGGATATGGGGTCTATTCAGATTGGCTGCAAGCTGTGCTGGGGGTCCAAAGATGGGCTGTGCAGGGCTGAGCCAGCGCCCATAGCATAAGGCTCCAGCAGGGATCTGGGCAGCCTGGACCTAGCTGTGAAAGCCTGTTCTAGGAGCTGCAGTGTGTGCTGTTTATATGCCTGAAAGAGGGGGAAAAAAGGGATTTCTTCTCAAACAGCCAATGAATAGAGTCCCCTGTGAAGTCCTGGCAGTACACCTTGCTCTCCACAGTCATGTCAGTCCTGTGGCAGTCACCACAGTCTGAAGCTCCTCCTGTGTATAAGTACAGCCCTGTTTGCCAAGTTTTAATATGGTCTTGATTCCCAGTTTGAGGCATGGTCCCTGCTGCTGTAATCTCACTACTTCTTTGTTGATACTTGGTCTCACTTCTGATGGGTCCATGGCTTTGCTTCTGTGTGGGCCAGGCAAAGCATCATGCCATGGTGATGTTGAGATTTGCACCTGGGATGGTGTGCTCTCCTCTGCTTTCTGTACTAGTAAGGGAGTTCTCTCCTGTTCCACAGGATAAACCACCAAGCAGGCAGATATTAGTTCTGGGCCTGGATGGAGCAGGGAAGACCAGTGTTCTCCACTCCCTAGCAACTAATCATGTGAAGCATAGTGCGGCGCCCACAGAGGGATTCAATGCAGTCTGCATCAACACAGAAGAGACCCAGATGGATTTCCTAGAGAGTAAGTGCATAGATTCTACTTTGGGTAGTGAGGAAAGCTTTTGGATTTCCCAGGAACTTGTCACAAAGACTGTAAGAGTTGGCTCATTGTTTTGGCTCCTTCCAGTCCTAGGGAAGTGCACTCACACTCTCAGTAGTGCTAGTACCCCATATGCTAGTCCTAGCCACATCACATTGCTTTCTCTCTCAAACCCTGACCCCAGGACTAGGGATGTGCTGTCCTACATGAATGCTAAATCTAAAACTGACCCCACCCCTAAAGAAGTGGAATAATAGAAAAGGAGGGTTGGAAAGGACCTCAGGAGGTCATCTAGTTCAACCCCACCAGCCAAAGCTTTGTCCAGCTGGGTCTTAAAACCACCCAAGGATGTGACTTCCATCACCTCTCTGGGTAAGCTGTTCTAGCGCTTCACTACCCTCCAAGTAAGAAAATTCTTCCTAATATCTAACCTAAACTTCTCTTGCTGCAACTTGAGACCTTTGCTCCTTGTTCTGTCATCTGCCAACACTGAGAACAGTCTAGTGCCATCCTCTTTGGAACCTGCCTTCAGGTAGTTGAAGGCTACTATTAAATCCCCTCTGTCTCCACTTCTCTAGACTAAATAAGCCTAGTTCCCTCAGCCTCTCCTCAAGTCATGTCCCCCAACCTCCTCACCATTTTTGTTGCCCTCTGCTGGACTGTCCAATTTGTCCACATCCTTTATGTACAGTGTCCAAAACTGAACACTGTACTCCAGATGTGGCCTCACCAATGCTGAATAGAGGGGAATAATTACTTCCCTTGACCTGCTGGCAATGCTCCTACCAATGCAGCCCAGTATACCGTTAGTCTTTTTTGCAACAAGAGGACACTGCTGGTTCATATTCAGTTTACTGTCCGCTGTAACCCCCTGGTACTTTTCTGCAGAGCTGCAGTGCAGCCAGTCAGCCCCCAGCCTGTACTGATGCACGGTATTGCTTCTTAAGTGCAGAACTTTGCGCTTCTCCTTATTGAACCTCATGAGATTTCTTTTGGCCCAATCCTCCAATTTGTCTAGGTCACTCTGAATTCTAGCCCTACCCTTCAGCATATCTAGTACTGCCTCCAGCTTGGTGTCATCTGCAAACTTGCTGAAGGTGTACTCTATGCCATCTTCCAGGTCGTTGATGAAAACATTGAACAAAAATGGCTCCAGGACTGACCCCTGGGGCATTCCACTTAGTATTGGCTGCCAACTAGAAATGGAGCCATTGATTACTACTCCCTGAGCCCGATGCTCCAGCCAGTTTTCTATCCATCTTACAGTCCATTCATCCAGCCAATACTTCCTTAGCTTGCCTGTGAGAATGCTGTGGGAGACCGTATCAAAAGTTTTGTTAAAATCAAGGTATATCATGTCTACTGGTCTCCCTGCATCCACAGAGCCAGTAACCTCATCATAGAAGGCAATCAGGTTGGTCAAGCATGGCTTGCCCGTGGTGAATCCATGCTGACTGTTCCTAATCACCTTCTTCTCCAAGTGCTTCGAGGATTGGCTCCATGATTTTTCCAGGGACTGAGGTGAAGCTGACTGGTCTGTAGTTCTCTGTATGCTTCTTTTTCTCTTTCTTAAATATGGGCACTGTTTGTCCTTTTCCAATCATCCAGGACCTCTCCTGATCACCATGAGATTTTAAAGATGATGGCAAATGGCTCTTCAGTCTCATCAGCCAACTCCCTCAGCACCCTCGGTTGCATCCCATCTGGCCCCATGGACTTGTACATGTCCAGCTTTTCTAAATAGTGCCTAACCTGTTCTTTTGACACTGTTGGCTGCTCACCTCCTCCCCAAACTGTGCTGCCTGGTGCAGTAGTCTGGGAGCTGACCTTGGCTGTGAAGACTGAGGTGAAGAAGACATTGAGCACTTCAGCCTTTTCTGCATCTTCTGTCACAAGGTTGCCTCCCTCATTCAGTAAGGGACACACACTTTCCCTGATTCTCCTTTTGTTATCAACACACTTGTAGAAACCCTTCTTGGTACCCTTCACATCCCTTGCTAGCTGCAACTCCAGTTGTGCTTTGGCTTTCCTAATTTCATCCCTGTATACCCAAACAATGATTCACTCCTTATTTCTCACCCTAGCTCTAGGGGAGTGCTCTTACACTCTATCCATAATTATAGGATAGTATTAGCCCTAGCCCCAGGGAAGTACTCTCACACCTAACCCTAATCTTCACCCTAGGGAAGTGTTTCCATATCCAAACCTTGGTCTTAACACTAGGGAAGTGTGTTTATACACTCACCCTTTCATACCATACCCTCTCCTTCCTGACATGTGCTCCCTGCCTGTCTGTCCCATCCCCTCCCCAATCTCTACACACAGAGGCTGCCTGTGCCTTGTAGAACTTGTACCACAGTTTGGCCACCCCGGGCTGGTGGATGGTAAGCTCTCCAGTGGTGCAGGCTGCATTCCCCCCCTACAAAGCCATTTGCCAGCCCGAATGAAAGTGGCACCTAAAGTCCAGCTCAAGAAAGAGAGCTGTTGATGCAGCTATAACCTCCCTTTTAGCTTCAAGCAGGATGCTTGGAGTGTTCAGTCACTAGGGGAAAATATCTTCCCAGCCATTTTCAAAGCTGCAAGAGGAAAGCTTTAGGATGAGACTCAGACACCTAAGACATCCCCCTGAGTACAGATTTCTGAGAGCCGCCTGAGAATCTCTTCTCAGACAATCCGGGCCATTGACTTGGACTAGAGTTGTGGGTACTTAGCGCTTGTGGAAATCCCAACCCTAGTTGTCCTGAGTCTGATATCCCAAGAGACATACCAGCAGCTAGAGCACATGTTTGAAAATGTGGTCTTAATGCTTTTTCTTACAAAGCAAGCAAGCACTTGGAGCTTGCGGTATGGAGGGATGTCCTTCTGTAAAGAGTCTCCTGTCCAACGTGTGTGTTCTGGCTTAATTTTGTGCTGTCTACTTCCCTCCACTCAGCTGTCCTCTGGCCCCTTGAATGAGAGGCCAAGAAGAGCTTAAAATGAAACATAAGAAGTTTGCTTTTGAACAGGTGTTTGTATATTTAGAAATATATTCAGGGAACATAAAAGTCAATGGAATCAAGGAGCTACTAACCTCAGTATCTAGAGTTGTTGCTACCAACTGTATGTCCTATAGCTACCCTGATTGGCTTTACCAATTGCATGTCCTGCCACACACTTTTGTCTTCCAGTTGGAGGCAGTGAATCTTTGCGTTCCTATTGGAAAATGTACCTACCCAAGGTTCTGGGACTGATCTATGTCGTGGATTCAGCAGACCACACACGCTTACCCTTGGCTAAACACCTTCTTCATCAGCTGGTCCAGCATGACTCTACACTGCCAGTGGTGGTCCTAGCTAATAAACAGGTAAAAAAAAACCCCAAGAAAATTACAGTATTCAAGGTGATACTTAGATTGGTGGCTTTTAAAGGGAGAAATAAAGCTCTCAAAATAAATTGGAATCATTAAGGGGCAGGTATTTCAAATGCAGTTTTTTTTTATTCTGTACCTGTCAATTGCAGATGAAAATAATCCACGGTTCAATTCTGTACCTGCAATTTAGGTCAGGGGCTTAGGTATCCATGCACATGGAGAGGTCAGTTGTTATGCAGTTCAAAAGTGCAAAACCAGGACCCAGCTAATCCCAGCTGTGCTTTCAGATCTGAAGCTCAGTAGTGTGTCCCAGGCATTGTTATTGATTGTATATCAATTAGAATAATAAAATCATAGACAATTAGGGTTGGAAGTGATCTCAGGAAGTCATCTAGTCCAACCCTTTGCTCAAGGCAGGACCATCCCCAACTAGATCATCCCAGTCAAGGCTTTGTTTAACCGGGTCTTAAAAACTTCCAAAGATGGAGATTTCACAACCACTTTGGGTAACCTGTTCCAGTGCTTTACTAGCTTTACTACTCTCTTCGTGAAAGAGTGTTTTCCTAATATCTAACCTAACCTTCCCTGCTGCAACTTGAGATCACTGCTCCTTATTTTGTCATCTGTCACCACTGAGAACAGTCCAGGTCCTTCTTCTTTGTAACCACCCTTCAGGTAGTTGAAGGCTGCTATTAAATCCGCTCTCAGTTTTCTCTTCTAAATGATATGTTCATATTTTATTTTAGTTATTAATTTAGGGTGTATAGGGTACTAATCTCTATGTTTTGCTTCATCTACTAGCAGCTGCATATTGGATAGTAAATTAATTCTCTCTATACTGGGCATTTTGTTTCTCCTTGAGCAGGTTTGTAGCTGAGGAAGAGCAACTTTATAATACCAGTTCTCTTCACAGGGTGGCACTGTTTTCTCATAGTATCTGAAGCCTAAATTGAATCTTACCCAAATTATACCACTATGAGAGAGAAGAATGCCTGTTTGTTCAAAAACCAAAATGTGTGAGAGAGGGAGGATTTTTGTTTTGCAGGGGGGACGGTTTGTATCTGCTCTTGGATTTTTCTAATAACTGGTTTTATGTTTGGGCCTTGTGACTGATGGGCATGCTCTTCTAGTGAATCCTTGATAGTGCTATCAACATGGGTCCTAAAGCTCGAGGAAGGCTTAGCTTCAGATACACTGGAAGAATACAGAAGGTTTGTGTCTGTAAATGTCTAGAGAAAATGAGATCTAGGTCAGCCAGACTGTCAGAAGGACTGCAGAGATTTTAGAGCAAAAGTCTCACTGAAGGTCAGTGAGATGTTGGAAAATCTTCCTTGTGAGGTACAGACTTTTATCTGAATGGATTGTCTTGGCCTTGAAGAGCAAACAAGCCAGTTGCTGCTTGTAGGAGATGTAACAGACATGTTTTCTTTTTTTGTTTGTTAGGATCTTGAAGGAGCATACTGCATCACGGACATCCACGATGCTCTGGCCTTGTCTGACATTGGAGATGAAAGAAAGATGTTCCTTATTGGAACCCACGTGGCACAGGATGGCTCTGAGATTTCTTCCAGCATGAAGGATGCCAAAGAACTAATTGCACAGCTGGTTTTGGAGACTGCATGATAACTGCTGTTTGAGAAATTGCTAACCTTATTGTCACAGTCATGGGATCTAGATGGTGGTTGTATTGCCAGCTTGCAGGCCTGAGAGTTCCACTTTCCAGTCAAGATGTGTGGTGTTACTCTCTCTTGTCAGTGTTAAGATCATTTATTTTATTAGGATTTGCAGTTTAAAACCTCTTTGAAAATCACTATATTTTTCTGAGAATTTGTAAGGGGAGAGGAAGTTTCAACAAGACAAGCATTAATGGGACATGTAGCGTAGGTATGTTCGTCCAGATAATCAGCTGGTGTTGATGATCAGTTAGTACGTTGACTTCAGTGAAGCAATGCTGATTTATAACAGCTCTGGATTTGAGCCTGAAATTTAGTGATGGTTGTTGTGGGGCTTTTTTGTTTGCTTTTTTTAAAAAGTCTTTTACAAGATTAAAACAGCAGTATCCTTTGTTAAAAAAAAACACACAGAAAAACCAAATCTATTTTTGAAAACTTTAAACATCGTGGCAAATATTTTCCGAAAATGACTGATTCTGGGGGTCAACCCTCAGTTACCTCTGTGTTGTCAGAGGGCGACTGCTACTTGCTTTCTGGAAATTGGGTCTTTTTAAGATGTCAGGTTGTAATAGATAATATTGGGTGCTCAATTTAAAATCTTGGTTTTACAGACTTTTTAGTGCATGGAAACCAGGAAGTAAAATTTACCATGGAAAAAAATATTAAGGGTTCCTTTGCCAACAGGAGAAAGTTACAACAAGATAACTAAGATGGAATTTAAACCTGTTTTAGTTGGACTAGTGCAAAAGACTGTGTAGACATTTATTTCTATATAAACGATGAATTAGTATCATTTAGTTTAATTTAGTTAGGAGCATATTTAAGCAATAGACAGAGAAACAAGAGTACCAACCAAGTACTCATATCAGTTTATGGTTTAAAAGACACAATGACGTTCCAGCAGGGCAGCGTTCTTGTGAACTTGGGCCCTGAACTAAGTCAGCCATCAAAATTAAACAAATGAAATTAAAGGTGAAAAATTAATCTGATTTTAAAAATTCTTTTCCACTCCAAGCACACATATAAGGAAAATGAATTGGTTTGCATAGAGTGGGCCATTTCCATCTTGCTAGCACTCCTGTCTTTATATTTATAGAAGAAGTTTTGTATTGAGTTGTAGGTAGAAAATACCATGAATACTCTGCAAGGGTTTTGTAACAATGGATCCTGTACCAAGGTTTTCTACTAGCAGCCTTTCTATTTTGCCACTGAAATAGTTACATAAAGCAGAAATGTTATTGTAGTTTCTTGTGGGAGTCTTATTTACCCAAACAGGTGGTGGAACAGGGTGGTTTGGTATGGGGGCCTGGCAGGACTAGAGCTGGCCACAGCATTTAAACCAGAGAGCAGGAACCCTCTTCTTGTCTAAGCAAGATGTGAACAGTGATGAGGAGAGGGACCCAGGTTACTGTGGGCATCCAGAACAGCTCAGCTTTTGGAGGTGAGTGGTCTTTGGCCGTGATCCTCCAAGTCTCTCCTTAAACCCCAGGACCCTGAGAGAGGGGCCCCTTCTTACAAATCTGTTTCCCCTTCACCTGCCATTACTGTAGAGTGTTGCATGGAGAAGTGAGTGTTCAGTGCAAACCCTTCCTGTTGGGGGCTTGCCTTCTTGTGATCCATTACTATTGGGCATCGTTCTTGTGTTAAAGTGCTTTGCATCTTGTCCTCTTCACAGTCATCTACTCACATCATATAGGACTGATTTTTTTTAAATCACATTGACACCCCAGCTCACATCTGTAGCTAATTTCCTGGTATCTCAGTTGGTCTCTGTAACAGCTGACTAAATAACCACATTCCTGGTTTACTACCAGCAGCAATTGTCTGTGGGATGCTAAATAGCTATCTCAAAGAGAGACAAACTTCCTTTTTTGTGTTTTTAAATGCTGTGCAGAAAGATTCTGGATTGATTTACTGACATAGTGGCAAGAACTGCTGTTTGGGAGATTGAAATCTATTATCTGTAGAGAGATCATGATCAGCACAATCTGCTCATTTCTGCGCCCTATGTGCAGTGAACAGGGAGTTCAGGAGTTCAGTGCCTGTCTCTATTCCATTTTTTCCTGAGTCTAGTTTAGTGTTGAGAGCCACTGACACAATGTCATACTCAAGCTCTCCATAAGAAGTGCGGCTCTCCTGTGCTAGCAACAGGACCTGAAGAATATGTCACCACTCCAGTGTCCTCTGTCGGGAGAAGGTTGCGGGAAGTCCTTGCCAATCTTACAGGAAACCTGGCTGTGCTTTCCGCGTGGAATATCTCTACATCTATTCTGTGCTTGGTTTGTATTAAGTTTACATGAGGTTCCTTTCATTTGTCCTTTGTATTTAAGGCATCTGAACTGTGAACTTTAAGAATTGAAAAGAGACTGTCACATCTAAGTTGGGCTACCATGCTTTATAAGGAGAAGCTTCTAAAAAGAAAAACAACCAAAAACAAACCCATGAGAGTCAAAAATGTTAAAGTTTCCATCATTTTTAATTGGGGAATGGATTTCTTTTTCTTTTCCTTTCCCTTCTCATTTTTCTCTCTTCCTTTTAAACAAGAGCTACACCAATACTATTGTTTATTGAAATAATGATGGTTATAGGTATTCTTGCAAGTTCTGCATAACTGTTTGTATGGGCAGCTGAATTGTGGAAAAATGCTGATTTTTACTTGTGCTATGATTTCTTTTAGAGCCTTTACATCTACAAAAAAGATCTGTTCCCTTATAGTTTCATAGTTGTTAGGGGCTGGAAGGGACCTTACAGATCCTTCTTAGTTTCCAGATAAATTACTTTTCATTGCAACTGCTACCTGTAAAATTATACCTGCTCAGACAATGAAAGGTAATGTATTATCATGTAAGAAAGTTACTGCATCTGCTTGTGTACCCCTGTTACAAGCTTGACTTCAGAATCATAGAAAAGTAGGGCTGGCAGGGCCCTCAGGAAGTCATCTACTCCAACTTCCTGCTCAAGGTAGGGTCATCCTTGATTAAACCATTTCAATCAAGTGCTTATCTAACTTGCTCTTAAAAACATCCAAGCATGGACATCCCACAAGCTCTCTTGGTAGCTAGTTCTAATGCTTAACCACCATCAGAGTGAGAAAGCTCTTTTTAATATCCACACAGTACTCCAGGTTAGGTCTCACCAGCGCTGAATACAGTAGAGCGGGAGGATCACTTACCGTGATTTGCAAGTGGCACTCTTATTAATAAAGCCCAGTATGTTATTACCTTTTCTGCAACAATGTCCTGTTATCCTGGCTTCTGAGAATGCAAATAAAGCACAGACATGCATGCACTGCCTTCACCGTGGACTCCATTAGCTGAATTCAGAGGTGATATGTTGTCCCTTGCTGTGGAGAGTAGGGCCTGTAGCAATGGCTTAAATTTGCAGCAGAGTAGGTTTAGGTTGGATATCAGGAAAAAACTTCTTCACTGTTAGAACAGTGAGGCAGTGGAACAGGCTGCCTAGAGAAGCTGGGGAATCTCTATCATTGGAGGTATTCAAGAAGTGCTTGAATAAGCTTTGGTCAGGGATGATCTGGGAGTAGCAAGGCCCGGAGTCTATTGTGAAGAGTGATATTTAGAACTCAGGAGACCCCCACATGTGCATTGCTCAGAGACCATGAGAAGAACTCAGCAGGCCAGAGCAGGGAGAACTTGGAGAGGGCTGTACTCCACAGAGCCCCACAATTGGCTTGGTTATAAAAGAAGATTAGAGGGGAAGTATTCTTGTAAGTATTTTGCCTCCTGAGACTCGCTGAGAGCTGTTGAGGCTAGAATGTTATGAATACCAATATATGCAATCTTTTTAGTATTTTTTGAGAAAAAAAGGGAGGTGTAAAGAGGCTGGCCCTTTAAGAGGCTTGTATAAATGGATATCCATGTTGGCTGGATAGAAGAGGTTGTGGGCAGTGGGTCAGCAGCAGGGACTCTGAGCTGTTGTGTACATGAGAGTTGTTCCTCAGTTATATCACGTCATTTAGTTCACTGCATAAAGCGTAATCTGTTCCTGCAAGCTTCACTGCAGCAGAACTCACAAACAGCAGCAGGCTGCGTGCTCTGTCTCTTGTGATGGATCCTGGCCTGCTGTTGGCGTTCTGCAGGATCTCCCCTTTCCACACTTCCTGGGAACCCTCTAATTCTTAGATTATTTCCTGACTCATGATTTTCTACATCCTCACATTTCACTGCAAGCTCCTTTACTTTTTTCGAGCCATCTTGCTTTTATTTTGCAGTTATTTTTGGTTGCAGGTTTTCCTCCATATTTATTTCCAGAGCTCTGACCCTACCCCACTGTCTTCTCTCTCTGCTTTAATCCTAATCACACTTTGTCTCCAGAGTGGATTTTAGAGGTCTGATTTCTGAGATTAACTCATAAAAGTCCTCTCTGGCTGAAGGGGCTGTTTTGCTTCTTTCCTTTGCTTTGCCAGGTCTGTTTCCCCCTGCAGCAGCCATCATGGGTCTGCTGGCCCTGTGTGCTGTTCTACATGAGGCTCTCTCAGCAAGTTTCTTTCAGGGAAGTAGCTTTTCAAATGGATCCTTTATGTGGGGTGTGCATTCCACACCCCGGGGCAGTATTTTTTGGAAGTCAAGAGGATCAAGGATAGGTGATGTTTGTGGATTGTGTCCTCTCTTTAGCCTCTGCTCTGGAGACACAGCCAAAGTCATCTTTGGAAGCAGAAAAACAACTGAGACCGTACTGCTGGATGCTTGTGAGACTCAGGCCTCAGAAGGCATCCCCTGTCTGCTGGTACAAATGGCTGTCACCTTAGATGTATTGATTGTTAACTGTCAGGCAGAAAATATGGCAGGGTGGCACCTTAGAGACTAAGGTGTTCAGAAAGGTGTAAGTTTTTGTAGGTGACAGCCTCCTTTATTAGATACTCTATGAATGGACTTGCAGAGAGCAGGGGTACTGAATAGAAACAAATAAAATAATTTAAATACACAAGATAAGGAAAGCAAGAGAAAAAGATAGGAGAGAGGGTACCACTGAAAGAGGCAGAGGTAGGTTGAGATCAAAAGGGATAAACAAAGCAGCTAACTTGTCGAGGGACATAAGAGTATAAGAGATAGTTCATGTAAAGGGATAAGAATCCATAGTCTCTGCTGAGACTGTGCTTAACACAATCCAATCTGTGGATGATTTCTTGTTCTGCAATGTTGCCTTTAAGCCAAAATGTTTTGTTGCTTAAGGACAGCTTCTCTGAGGTCGGTAAAGGAATATCTAAGAAGGTTAAAGTGTATCTTTCTGGAATTGATGTCAAATCAGCATTCATTCACTCTTTCACATGGGTTTTGCCTATCTGTCCCATGTAGATAGTAGAGGGCACTGTAAACAGGTGATGGTTTATACAATATTGGTGGAGGAGCAGGTGAATTAATCCCTTCTGAAAGGTAAATAGGTAACAAACCAAGTAACACAGTCACAGCTATAGGGGTAACTGAACCTGTAATCCACCATTTAGTGGCATCAGGAACCTTCCTATTTCTGTACCTGTCACCTATCCTGTACTGCACCTATCAGACAGAGGACTGAGACACTGACTTCAACTGCATTATGAAGCTAAAAGGTGTGCATGGTCATTTAGCTCAAAATATAGAGGCTTATGCTTCCCCTGAGTTCTTCCAGTTAGCCCCTGCTGGTGTTCAACATGACTGCTGTTGCATAGTGTTTTGGCATCATACAAATATTTGCCTGTGCTTCTGCTCATGTAGGCAGCCGCTGCACCAAAGATATGTCAGCAAGAGAGACTACAAAGTGAGCAGACTGAGGTTTGTGGTATGTGCTCACATTGAAAAAGTATGACTCACCACAACTAAAAACAGGTGTTCCTCCAAGATGTAATTGCCTACACATTCTGCCTCTCTCTACTATTACATGCCTATCTCCATCACTGCTGAATTAAAATTGTCTCACAAAAGTCAGTGCATTTATCCCCACAGTGATCTGCTCAATTTGACTGCTGGAGAACTGAGAGAAACTAAGCTGAGGGAGGAAATCTGTGGTAGACCCAAACCAGATTTCATAACTAGTAGACTAGTGGAAGGAAAAGCCCTTTTGGGAAGTCACTGCAAAGGGTGATGAAGTACCTTTCCTTAACTGTGAGGATATCATGGTAAAACAGCATGTAAAGTTCCTAAACAAGTCTTTCTACATTGCTCAGTTTACGTGCAGATACAAGCATCCAGAAGTTCCCTGGCTTAGCCCCTCAAGTTACATGGACTGATGTGAAAATGCAGGCCCTGGTGAGGTCACTGGCTCAGCTGATGTCATAACAGAAGAGTCTGTGAGGTTACTTAATTCGGATGGGCTGACTGAGCCCACTCTGATATGAAAGAACAGGTTCTAGTGACACCAAGGTCTCAGGAGGGCTCAGGGTAGCTGGGCTGATTTCAAGGCAGAAGCCTTTAGACATACTTACCTAGCAGTCCAACGGATGATTTGGACAGTGGGTTCTAAGCCTCTCTGAGATCCCCAGTTGAGCCTCCGGAGATGATTTTAAGGCTTTTCCTTCCTGAACATCCATCACGTGTTTAGCCCTCGTGCTAGAACCCAGCCCTGGCCCTTGTGTAGCACCTGCTCCTGGCTAAGCACTACTTTCTTGACAGGCAGATGCCTCAGGGGTTTCCAGTCCAGCTGGGGGATTCTGGAGTGGGAGAAATGACTCACAAGGCTTCCTCATAGTGTTCATTTCACAGATGCTCATCTTGCTTTAATTTGCTCAAATAAGTGACATTTCTGGCATTTCCAGGGTCTTCACTACTAGAGACCCTCCCTTACTGCCCATTTCCCAGAGCTACCAGGATGAGAAATACCTGTCTGTGTCAGTCTGGTCACAGAGAATAGATCACCTCTCCAACACCGAGCTTGTCCTTTCCTGCCTTGGGCGCATTTGAGCATCTGTAAAGTTCCTCACCTAGGGAAGGCCTAGAACAAAGGACTGAGGGCTAGACAAATACCTACACATGAGATAAAATGGGTCTGCATTGTGGTGAGTGCAGGGATCCCACCTCAGTAAAACAGCAGGGTATTCGTATCCCACTGCTCCCACCATGTGTGGCGGGCCAGTAGGGGGCGCTCCTGCGT